ATTATTCTGTCTGACTACCCTGAAGGCTATAAAGTTCACATTACATGTCTTGCTAAAAAAAACAAAACAAAAAAAAAACAAAACAAAACAAAAAAACACCTCAAACCAATTTATTTGTTTGTGGAATTTATTATTTTATACTAATTTTTGCAGAAATGTGGTAAAATTTGTAAAAATACACTGCAGTTACATACCATGAATTGTATAAATAAATGTGAATGGAATTATATTTGATTTATACAACTTTTGCAGAATTCCACACATCAATGTAGCAGACACATCCTTTCATTGACACAGTAAATATGGAGTATTTGTGAAGTAGGAATGCCAAGTATGGGAGAATAGGTCCTACAATTGCATTCAGTATCTTAAAGAAGGGAGGCTAGAATGAGAGCACTTCTCATACAATTAAGATCAAAACCTCTGGATATCTCATTTGGTGGGTGATTGCTATAATAAGCATACTATCCTGAGTATTCAAAATGAGCTATGCCAGTGTCAATGGACATAACTAGCTGTCTGGGGAAAAAAAATGAACAAAATTACGTCCTAGCGCATTGCTACTTTATTCTATCTTTGAACTGAAGCAAATATCACCACCTGACTTCAAAGAGCTTGTTCAGCATGCTGGCACTTCAGGGTCTTCTATCAGCTAACACAGTATTCCTATAACTTTTTTTTTTTTTGTATAAAAATTGGCCACAACTTACTTTTGTGAGGGTAGCACTTTTGCATGTATGTGAGATATACCTCCAGAATGTTTAACAGAACAAGTTCCTCGGCAAATGTAGGCAAAGCAACATCTTGTTTCCAGATCTCAAACTAGTTTTGGCAGAAGCTAGACACAAACTTGCTCAGACTGGGCAGAAAGTCTAGACACCCTAGTAACAGCATTTCCATGTTTGAACTGGCTACACCAATGCATTTCTGAAGCAAGGAATCAACTCAGCAAGATTCATCAGAAACACAGTTTTGGATGTAGGCAACGATGTTATATTCTTTGTGTTTAAATTCTTATTTGGATTCAGCCACTATACTCATCATAATTTAAATGCTTTTAAAAAAATGATAAACATAATCATATTCAAATAAAAGTGTGACAGTTGCTTTATGAAGGTGCAGATACATTCGCATGCTGTGTGATTGCTCATTATATAGACAGGCTTATTTCCATACTATGAAGGAACTGCTTCAGGTGGGTGGAATAATTTCTCCCTTCCTTTGTCACGGGCCGGGATTTTTTGCACAAAAGGGTGCTGGTTTACATCATAGGACTTGCCTGATCATGAACTTCTTTAGCAAAACAAAACAAATGAAAAACACATACCAGTACTAATTATCTTTGCTAGTTATTCTTCCTCCTCAGAGCAGTCCCACGTTTTTAGGCACCGTATGTAATGTGACTAAAGGAGATGATATGGAGCTATTTATTAGTAATAACCACCACTGAAGGACTTCTCCATTTCCTCCCTACAGGTTTGAACAGGTTCTCCAGCAAACTTGTTGTAGTAGTTTTACTGTGATGGTGATGGTAAATATATGCTTTAACAAGATTTGTAAGGAAAATTATATATTTGCAGGGAAGAAAGAAGCAGGCTTTCAGGAAGACAAACGCAAACCTACTCAGACTACAGGAAAGACACTTTTGTCTGCACCCATGGAGACATTTAAATGACTGATTCCTTTCCCAGAGAGTTAGGTGCTTAAATCATATTCCATTTGCACGGAATGTGTACCACAATGTTCCCCCAAATGACAGAAAAATTATCTGTTATATCAACTCACTGATAGGTAGAAATTTTTGTTATCCTTTCCATTGGTTTAATATTGTTAACTAAAAGTTTCCTGGGGGAAAATAAAAATATTTACAATCCAAAAGGAAGGAATGGGAAGAAAGTTAGTAATTTAAGACCCAAATAAACATTTAACTGCAGTGTGATTTTATGTGCTGAAGTTTGACAAATGCACATATATGAAAGACCACAGGGAACAACCAAATTGACACTTGGAACCCTTCTGGTCCCTGAAAATTCTGAGTTTATAGGAATATAAGTACACAAAACATTTTTTGCAACTAAAATAGAAGAATAAGCCCTAACTAAAATAATGAATTGAGAAAATAATTTAAACTACTGTTCTCTGTTTTTTGGGTTTTTTTCCTCAAATAAAATCTCTTTTAAAAAGATCTTCACTGTCTTTGGAAATATTAATCTCTAACATCTGACACTTTTAATAGAAAATGAAAATAGAACTCACCCTTCATGTAAGCACTATAAGGTAAAGGATTAGAAACATAAAGAGGATAAATTATTTTAAGATAAAGGAACCTGGCTGTAGGCACCTAATGCATAAGTGGGGAAAGTGAAAAACTGAGAACTATGAATTACTGAGAGCAAGGGAAAAGCCAAGATTGTTCAAAAAGTATCTGTGACCAAAATGTGACATTTTAAGTTAAAATAAAGGCAAAGAAGAAAGAAAAGAGGAATATAGGGCTGGAGGCTTGCCTATGAATTGTGCCCAAATTGGGCAAGAAACTATGTTTCATATCCATTATTGCAATCTAGTGGCCAGCTCTACTTCCACTTGCAATTGATGAAGTTAGGAGCTTTGATTCTCAACCTCACTGCATGTAGAAAGAACATTTTCTTTCCCTGAAGTATTGTGGATAATAATCAGTATCTGCAAGATAAATTCTGAGATGGTTATAGAGAGGTGGCAAAGCACGCTAATAATATGTTGACATTCTAAATATAAACATTGCAATTATGTTGTTACAATTACAACTAGGAAATGCCTTGCATGCAAAGGAAGGAAGCAAACTTAAATCTTAAGAACAGACACTGCATCAAATTGAGCTGATCTTGTGCTTGAGAGCCTTGCCGAATCACAGCTCTTCAGAATGGGTGCTGTCATACAGGCCACCAGCTGTTGAAGCATGGCAGTAGGAGGCTCTTTAAAATAAAGTTTATGGTCCTGAATGCAAGTAATTTAAACATTAGGTAAAATTCATAACATAAATGGAAATATCAGTTGAAGTTAATCAATACCTTAAGTAAAATACTTTATGTCCTTTTTAACATCTGAGAAGTGAATGATTTCTTAGTTTTTATAAAAAAAGGTCAAATACTAATTTTCTTGGCTAGACTGAAGATCTTCTCTTGAAGATAATTAGCACAATCAGCTTATACCTTTTTAATCAAATCGCAATTATTTGGCTAGAAAAACAAAGTTAGATTTGTAGAAACACTAAGATTTTTTAAATGTTTTGATGTGTATTTTTCAAATTGATATCTTAAACAAAATTTTCAGTTATTGTTAAAAGAGCTTTGTTGGCTTGCTTACCTTTTGACCAAACAGAAATTAAATTTAAGGCTTGCCAGAACATTTATAATTTGCAGTTTAAGGAATCTTCAAAATATATCACTCAAAGCCTAAACCATAATAAATCTATGCTGTTCTGTACAGAACATAGTCCCAGAATGGGTAAGGTGGGAAAAGACCACAGTGGGCCACCTGGTTCAACCTCCCTGCTCAAAGCAGGGTCATCCCAGAGCACATGGCACAGCATTGCATCCAGATATTTCCTGAATATCTCCAGTGAGGGAGATTCCACAACCTCTCTGGGTGACCTGTTCTAGTGCTCAGTCAACCTTGCAGTAAAGAAGCAGAAAGGGAAGTAAAGCAGTAAAGTAGTAAAGCATAACAGAAGGGCAAAACTTGCATTCCAAAGAGTTAACAGATGAAATCAGAAATTTTGGAGCAAAAGTGATGTCATCCTCCATGACTAGTGACTTTTCAAAGGCTGACAGGAAGCAGAGATGACCTAATGATTTTCTGAATTAGTCATAACACTTCATGTCAACAAGCTAAAAGATAAAAATGCATTTTATATCCTCTTATATTACGACTATAATTTGAACTCTAAGGATACCTTAAAATTCAGGATAAATGGACATATATTTGCAATTCTTATAAATAATTTATGCATTTGTATTTTTTTTTTTTTTTTTTGTATACACACAATTACTTCTCATTATTATTGAACCTACACCACATATAAACTAATAAGCCTTACATTCTCATTAGGCCACATTTAAGGAAAAGGAGATGCCAAATGCCACCCGCGTGACTTGATTTTCACATCAGCTTCGCAGATACCCTGCTCATGGGAGCACAGGTTAGTAGATGTGAATAGGGTAAAACTGGACCAGAACAAGGCATGTAAAAAATTAGGATTTCCTTCCCAGTGTACGCTTTACAGTGACCTGGTTCACACACCAATTTGCTTTGTCTTCCAGCATTATCATCAACAGCTTCTTGGCTGCTCTGGAAGGAGCTACATTCGGTACTCCATGCTGCTGCTGCATGAGGCGGGTGTCTTCTCGCCTCGGCCGAGCGCAGCCCTGCACTATCCCCAGCCCTGCACTATCCCCAGCCATCCCCAGCCATCCGAACACCCTGCAGGCTGGAGCAGGGGACGCGTACGGCTTGTGACCGGTGCGGAATCCACACCTGCTTGCAAACGGGGAGCAAAATAAGGCGTGACAAACCCTCTGGGACGTGCGGGGGAGCTACTCGAACGCGCACCCATGCGTGGGGAAGGACCAGCTCCTCCCAGGGCTGCTGCTGCACAGCCGAGGGGGCCCGGCCCATTTTGAACTTTCTGCGGGGAGCGGACGGGACCGTCCCAGGCGTCCCTGAACACTGAAGGAGCGCGGGGCAGGCGCGGCAGCCGCCGGCACATCCCTCCAGCCCGTTCCCGCCGCCGAGCCGCGCTGCCCCTCGGGCAGGACGCAGGGTGGGGAAGGACGAGCAGAGAGGAGCCGGGGCTGTGGCACGGTTCGGGGCTGTGGCACGGGTCGGGGCTGTGGCACGGTTCGGGGCCGTGCTCGCGGCGGGGCCGCGCCTCCCCCGGCCCCGCCCCGCCCCGCCGGCCCTCAGCGGGACGGTGCCGCAGCGGCAGCGGCAAACCCCGCCCTCCGCCCCGCGTGTGGCGCGGCTGGGCGCACCCTCGCCATTGTCTGCGCGGCGCTCCTTGCCTGCTGTGGGCACCGGCGGGCGGCGCGGCGCTTGCGGCCGCGATGCTGAAGGGCTGCGCGCCCCCTCAGACGCGGCAGCGGGCTCCAGCCCTGGGGAGCAGCCACCCCGCCTGCTGAAGACTGAAACTTTGCGTCCCCGCCGCTCCCTCTCCTCCCTCTTCCTCTCGCCTTCCTCCATGCGCTGAGCGGCCGCGGGGCGCCCGCTCGGCCCCATGGACGCCTTCAGCGCTGCCAAGGCCAAGATGGGGGCGAAGAGCGGCGGCGAGGCGGCGGCGGCGGGAGTGGCCGCGCCTCAGCCCGCCGTGCCGGCCCCCAGCCCCGCCGGTCCCGGCTCGCCCGCCGCGCTCGAACCCGCTGCCTACAAGCTGGAGGACCTGGAGACCCTGGCCACCGTGGGTGAGTGTGGAAAGGAGGGGAACAAAGGAGCTGCCGAGGTGCCTGCGACCGTGCCCGGGGAGAGGAGGTGCCGAACAGCTGGCTGCCCTCTTCCCCTGCGCCCTGTTTTTTGTGTTCTTTTCTCCCCGCCGCCGCTCCGCTCCCGTTCTCCCGCCGCGCCACCGCTGGCGGTGTGAGGGCAGCTGGGGTGCCCGCGGTGGCCGGAGGTGCCTGCGGGCGGCTGGGAGGGCGCGCCGCAGGCTCCGCGCGTTCGGAGCCGCGCTGCGGGGCTGCGGGAGGCTGTGGCTGTTGTACGGCCCCGGTGCTGCCGTGTTCACCGGCTCCGGCTGCGGGATCTGCAGCTGAGCGAGCCCGCACCCAGACCTGGGTTTGGATTCTCTAAGGGATGAGTACTGCCACTGCTGACGCTGTAAGACCTTTTGGTATAAAACCTGGTTTATCTGGTTTAACTTCCGTTTACCTACATCATGATAAAAAATTCATCATTTAAATTAGCTGTCGGGCCAGGGAGGAAATCAAACAGGTTAACCGAATGCAGCTGAGCGTATGTCAAACCCCCTATATGCTGTTGCCCTGAATATTGATGCAAAGATGCTTTGCGCGTGTGGAATTGTGGTAGAAGGTAAGGTCTCATTTCACAAGTAACACCCTTACTAAAACTGCCTGTTACCAGTGGCATTGCAGAGTAAATGCATGTGCCTAATAAATAGACATTTCAAATATCCGTGATGATGTTCATGGTGTTTATGTGTGCTGTATCTGTGTATTGTATTTGAACAGACATACTGGCAGTTGTATATGTTTTTGCACCTGGTTTGAAGGCCTGTATGTTCAACTACATATAAGTTTTATTCACTTTTTCATTATAGGACACTGAAATTATTTTGGATAGATTAGATTTATTCCTGTAAATAATGTGATGTAAATCTTAATTTTCCCTAATCTCTCTTCAGCCAAAAGGTGCAATATAAACCCTTTCTTAGTGAAGTTGATGCTTTAAACATGGAATTGGAAAGACCCAAGAGTGCCGTTGTCAGTGAAGAACGCTTTATCTTCTCTTGAAGTGCGTTGTGTTTTGAGATAGTATTCCAATTTGAAATGTGGGTAGACGTTTTACTGATAAATTATTTGAGATTATTAAGAGACTTCTTGAAAGGTTTGTAATGGTTTTTTTTTTTGCTCCAGAAGTGGTTGCTTTTCTTCATTACATCATGACCCTGTAGTCATCACTGAAGACTAGGACTTTGGGTGAAACACAGATTGCAGAAAAACAGTAATTTTTAAGGAAGGCAGCGTAGTCATGGAAATGTTCCTACAGCCAATGAAGAAATGTGGAAACAATCCTGGTGTCAACCTTAAACAGTGTACCTTTATTAGTGTGTTCTTTAAGATGCTCTTTAGAGGCTAAGGAAAGGGAAATTCTGATTCCACAGGATTCAAACACTTAAAAAAGTGAGACACTACCTGTTAAAAAGGAACAGATAAAGATCTAAAAGGGAAAAGGAGTAGATAACTGCCTGTCAAGGCACTGACAGAATATATAGTTTCCATTCATTCTCTGTCTTTTCCAGGTTGATTTAAAAAAAAAAAAAAAATTCTCAAATAGCTCTGTCTCAAAAAATGACCATTCTTTACCTCTCTTTTGAACTGTATTGGTCATTTTATAGGGAAAATAAAGCTAAAAAACAAAACTGGAAAGGCATAAAATTGTGCAGAGATAAATACATAAAGCCTTACCTTGTCAAAGAAACTGAGCTGGCTTATTTTAAGTTGGTTGAAAAATGAATTTATGACATGCCTGTGTGTCTTGCTCCTGACTAGGAAGCAATATTGCAGCCTCAAAGTGATACTGAAACTGAACACGTGAATACCTGCTCTGAGTGGCCAAGTTTATAAAAGATGCAGCGTCCCACTAATGCTTCTGTAGTGCATTAGTCGAGGATCTGAGTCAGCTCTAAGTCTGCGTGAGGTTGGGCAGCTCTGTGTGCACCTGCTAACATGAGGCATTGGAGACCTGATTTAAATGGGCTACAAGTTAAATCAGTGCAAAATACTGTAGATTGGTTGAGTAGGATTTGTGTTTTAGCTTGAGAGACTTTTTTGCTTGGCTTAAAGCTTTTTTAATTCAGTTAGTTGAGTACACTGTAGGTTTCTATCACGTGTACTGAAAGACTATATCTACAGTTCTTTTTAGCAGTGGTTTAAGTAATTATTACCTTATCCTCCATTTTGCTTTCCCCGCTGAAATAGAGGGCATTAATGTTGTGAGTTTCACTATAGCAAATTAGAGTAGTCTGCAGTTTGACTGCTCTGATACAGATAACCATTTTTTCTGCTCATGTTCTTGAAAGTTATATACTCTGAGATAATTGAAGATGTTTGGGGAGGGGAAATACCCAAAAATTACATAACAGGAAGTTCTGGTATCTCCTTTACTAGAAGAATTGCTTATAGATATACCCAGGCTTAGAAATAGTTATAGTGTTGTAAACGATCAACTTGAGAAAGTTGAAAGTCAAGACAGAGTTCCAAGGTGTTGCGGCTGTTTATGATTAATATTTGAGGTAACAAAATTGTGTTGCTGTCTGTGAGATTGTAGTCATCCATGATTTTATGCAACTTCTCTCTAAGGATGGAATAAAATCTGTGTTAAAAAACGTTGAACGCAATACCTGCTTTGAATATAGCAACTACTGTTTTAAGTATCCTTCATAGTCTCAGAGGATTAACATCTCTCTGTTAACCTGACCACCATAATTCAGGCTGGATGTTCTGTGACAAGTGTTTTCTGTGATTCCTGTTTGGGATGCTGTGCCTGGTTTAGCAAAGGTGTAAAGGTGGGAAGAGCAAAAGGGAAGTACAGTTTAGCCTAATGATTCAGAGGACCTTTATCTCCCCCAAACATCGCAGGATTCAACCTTCTTTTGGGTGTTAGTGGGCCTTTTGTTAAAAGGCAATTGGAGCAGAGTCTGGAGTGCGGGTTTGCTTTGGAGGGAAGTGCTTTAATATTTAGTTGATAAAGTGAAGTTACTGCTTTGGGGAGGGGAAAGGATTGGGGCACATACTGATTTCAGCACTAAGAGAAGTTAAACAGGAAAAATATTTCTTTGAAGGTACTTCCTGAGGGGTTGAACATGTGGCTTTGAACCTTTGAAGTGTATGGGTTTTTTAACTAGTTTCCTTGTATGAAAGTTGAACACTTGCTCTGGAGCCCTTGAAGTTGCCTGGTTGTCCTCATCTTGTTTTGAATTAATTTTCCTTTCAAAGGAGGTTGAAATACAAATGTTGGCTCAGCACATTCAGAAACTGCTGTTCAGGTCAGGATGAAATACTCTGTGAATCTCAGTGAATGTATGTACTCAACTGTGCCAAGATTGAGTTAGTTCTGTGCTGTACAGAAACAAAAAATTTATATACCATGATCACCATGTTAATTCAAAGTTCGTGGCCTGTGCTTATCAGAACCGGTTTCAAACTTCTTGTAAGTCTGGTCAGTGAAAGAGGGAGACTGGACACTAATGGCATAGTTTCTGAATTATCCTTCATTGTGATGAGCATTTAATATGGGCAAACCACCTGTTCCAGAAGCCACAGTGCCTGCAGTTGGACACCTGACACGTATCTTGAAATAGAGATGCTAAATTTTTAATTATGCCATAATGAAAAAGTAATTCAGGTAAACTAGAATAAGTAATACAGGAAAACCAGAAGGTACTTCTTCACTTTTGGGTACATAAAGGTGGGAAAAGTGTTACATTCTCAGTTGAAATGCATGGTGATGGGAAAATGAGAAGGAAGAAAACACAAGGAGGAGAAAGGTGACAAATTTTTTCTTGCCCTCCCTCCTTTGAGATCTGTTTCTTGTCCATTTTTCAAAGTGCAATAAATTCCATAGCAGACTGTGTAAACATAAATTTGGAGTTGTGAATCTGTTCAATTGATTGATTGATTTTAATTAGGGTATTTTTAATGTAAAAATATTCTTTTAAACTACTGTTCCCATGAAATGCTTTACACTAAACAAATGCAGAATAAAAAATTGGGCATACCAGTATTTTCATTTTTATGCACATGGGAAAATTTAAAAATGTTCATGGGAAAACTGAGGTGCTACATATTTTCAAATACTTAATTTCTCTGTGTTCACACACAAAATATGCTAGCCAAATACATTTCAAGTGGCGTTGTATCAACATGACAGTAGGTACACAGCTGTAGTCTAATGCCAGGGAATTGTCTAAGTAAGAAACTGTGCCCCAGAGTAGCTAAGTTCTTTACATGAAAAGAACGCTGGTAGCTTTTTTCCTTTTCTTAGAAGCTTAAATTAGTTCACTTTCTTACCAAGTGTTATTTTTGGTTTCGCTACCAAGTTTGTCACCTATTTTAAATTTTTTAAGGCACGTATGAGCATTTTTTCCCTGTTTTGTTACATTTTCTTGATACTGAGATGATAAATAATAATCCATGATTTTACTTGGCAATGTTCTTGACTACCACTAGTTTTGAAAGAAAACATGGTCTGAATGTTGTGACTGTAATGGTGACCTGAATTCACCATTACGTTTGTACATCTTTGAGGCTTTAGTCATAAAGCTAAATTACTTGAACTTTGTTTTCACTCTCTGTATTTCTTACTTCATTTTTCCCTCCCACAAAATGACACTTGTCTCAAAATAAATCATTATTATTATAGCTGCTCTTGTAGAGAGAAATGATCAGGTGTGTGACTCAGCTTCCTTCCCTTGCTTTTCCTGTTACCCACTGCTGAGGTGAATCTCAATACCATAAGGTTTATTGTAGATTAGGCAGCAACAGGTTCTTTCAAATAAGTTTCTTGTTCTCTTTAGGATGGAAAAAAAAAATGGATTGAAACAAGTATTCTCTTTTATCTTTCAGAGAGGTCAGAAAAGTGAGAGTATATGGAAGAAGTCTGAAAGTTCACATTTCTGCTTTTCTATCTTCAGTGTTTAAAATCAGTCTTGAGGTAAATTGTTAGTGTT